ATATATATATATATATATATATATATATATATATATATATATATCAAACTGTCAAAATGACAGATTAATCAAATAAACTACACCAAAATATATATACGCTTATTCAAATACAATGCGAAGGGTTAGAACGATTAGTGAGCCTTAATAAATGTTAAGGCTTTGTTGGAACTCAGTATACTCGCATTATACTCACATGGATTCATGTACTTTGGAACTATGGTCTATCAATTTCTGACCTGGCAGGCTGAGAAAGAGAAAATGCAAGACCAAACACAAACCCGCAACCGTGAATCTTAATGCCTCCAAAGGTCGATCCATGTTGATCACCACCTAATTGCGGAGAAAAACAAACTACCAATGCCCATTTCTACTAGCGTCGATTAAACCTTAACCTGAGTTTGTCTTTGCTTGAGTAGAGTTTAAATTCAGGTTAAAGTTTAATCGATGTTGATAGAAACAGACATAAGCCATTTAGGGACACCGTCGTTTTGGTGATATTAGTACGAACCTGTATTCCGCTGAATGCTATGAATACTGTGTTTAGTAACGTCATTATAAACAAAGATATGCTATATGTAGACGCAAATAATTTAGCAAACCTAGAACGATAAGACATATTGGATATTGCCGAGATTTATAAGAAAGTGACGGCACGTCACTTCGTCACGTAGCTGTCGTCTCTCTTATTCGAGTTCAAATCCCGTCAAATTAGGTAATTGATATTTCAATGGTAAAATCGATTTGCCCTCGGTGTGTCGAGAACACCTACTGTAAAACTTTTACGTGCTTCGCGACGCTGTTGCTAATTATACGATAATTCTCGTCGTCCTCGTGTCGCGGGTAAGCGTTAATGTAGATGTTGTCATCCTGTTTCATATTTTCCAATTCATATCTAGGCAAAATTATAAAAATGTCTCAAAGTATTTCGGGAGATTGTCTCGATATCCAAAGAGAAAGAAAGAGAGAAAGTATTTTAATTGTAACTTTCCAGGAAAAAGTTGTACTTTGGAAAATTCAGATATTTCTCGATAATCAGTACTGTTAGAAAACTTCATATTAAATTTAATAACTGGAATGTGAAGTTTTTTTATATAACTATGTTATAAAAAGTAATAGTAAAAGCAATATTATATTTAATAACACATAGTTATGAAAAATCATAATTAGAATCATAATTAGAATTGATCATAATTAGAATCATAATTAGAATTGATTAAGAGACTTCTGGATAGCTTTGTTGAAATCTCAATAAAGAAACAATGCTTCACAAGCTGAATCTTTTAGGCCACGAGACCGAAACAGCCTCGTATTTATGATAAATTAGAAAAATTATTCTAACATATCATAACATGTTATAATATTTCATAATTTAATATGAAATTTAATAAGAAAACATGGAATATAAGATACAAAATATTAGATTTTATAAGAAATATGAAACTAATCCATAATCCTAATGTTATGAAAATCTTTACTATC